CCCCCTAGTCCTAGAAAGTTTCAAATGCAGAGACTGGTATAATGAAAGTGCATCAATTATCAACACATTAGCTCTGTCCTTTCCCTCACTGGGTAATTATTTTAGGTAATATGTTGTCTTAAAATCCCACCTCTAAGAGCCAGCTGGTTAGCTCACTTAGAGTGGAGGTAGTAACACCAAGGTCAAGGGTTTGGATCTCTTACAGGCCAGCTGCCAAAGAATCTCTAAGGTGGGACTTGATCTAAGATGGCTCCTGGCATTTACTCCATAATCCCCTCTCCTTGAGTGGGCTGGATCTACTGTCACTTGTGAGATGAGGTGATAAGACTTGCTAGTTTGCTTTGTCTCCTTGGATTGCTTTCTTTGATCAAGAGGCCCCTGTACCGAGGAAGAGAGGGCAGTGTCTAGCCAGTAGAGTACAAGGAACAATCCTGCCAACTGCCATGTGAGTTTGTAAGCAGGTCCTTCCCCTAGTGGAAGCTTGAGATGATTACAGTCCCAGCAGACATCTTGATGGCAATGAGAGACCCTGAGACAGAAAACCCACATATGCTGCCTCTCAGTTCCTGACTTATAAAAAAAANTCCTATAACCTGGAAAGGATTATTTTCAGATCAAGGTTAAACATTTTGACAACACAAGTTCCATATAAGCTTAGATGAGGTGCAGAAGAGACAGGTTGTCTTATTAGAGGGTGGAAGTTTTCCCAGCTCCTTGGTCTGGTCCTTGATCCTAGTGGATGGACTAAGGAGTGGTGGAGTAACTAGGTCTTAACCAGATGCTCCCATATCCCAAACAAGTAGCACTTTCGATCTGGATAGAGTACTGATTGTAATCCACCTTTCTGTTTTCTTTTTAGGAAACTTCTTAGCTGTGGAGTTGGAATCCAAGGCCTCCTATGTTTTCCTGGTCTTCCTGGTCGTGTTTTCCTGTTTGTTCTGGCTGAACAAGTCTCACAAAACTATTGTATTTTAGCCTGAGGACAATCCAGATTTTAAAAGGCTGTGCCTATTTCTTTGAAGAATCAAGGGCTATTAGACCTTGGTAGAATTTCTAACTTTGTAATCTCCCTACCTGGAAAAAGTAAAGTCTTTTCAACTAAATGACCCTAGATTTGTCTGGATGTATAAATGTGTATAGTTTTAGCCACCTGAAAGTAAGTTCTTGCTTTTATGACCCTTAATCATCTAAAGACAAGACTTCCGCATAACAATGATCCTTAAAAGTATGAGTATTAATAGCTTCCCAATGTCTGCTATCCACTTCATAGTCACATATCTCTGTTGGTCCTTAAACTGTCCTGTATGTGTTGCATTTGGGTTGTGTCCCTTCAGAATCAACATAAAGCTCTGCCAACCAATTTTTAAAATAAAGTTTTCTGGTGGTGTGGTTCTAATTCTGCATTTGTCTCTTTCTCCTGTATTCCTGTAACCTGGAAAGGATTATTTTCAGATCAAGGTTAAACATTTTGACAACACAAGTTCCATATAAGCTTAGATGAGGTGCAGAAGAGACAGGTTGTCTTATTAGAGGGTGGAAGTTTTCCCAGCTCCTTGGTCTGGTCCTTGATCCTAGTGGATGGACTAAGGAGTGGTGGAGTAACTAGGTCTTAACCAGATGCTCCCATATCCCAAACAAGTAGCACTTTCGATCTGGATAGAGTACTGATTGTAATCCACCTTTCTGTTTTCTTTTTAGGAAACTTCTTAGCTGTGGAGTTGGAATCCAAGGCCTCCTATGTTTTCCTGGTCTTCCTGGTCGTGTTTTCCTGTTTGTTCTGGCTGAACAAGTCTCACAAAACTATTGTATTTTAGCCTGAGGACAATCCAGATTTTAAAAGGCTGTGCCTATTTCTTTGAAGAATCAAGGGCTATTAGACCTTGGTAGAATTTCTAACTTTGTAATCTCCCTACCTGGAAAAAGTAAAGTCTTTTCAACTAAAATGCTGTTGTATTTGGTCATTGGAGGTAAACATTGAACAGGGGTTGTAAGTAGCAACCAGGTGTCTACAGGTTTCATTTGGGATGTTTCCTGGTCCCAGGTTTTTGTAAGGGGACAATCAGCCTATTGGGTTTCTTTGGATAGGGCATGCTAGTGATTGGATTCTNCTGCCAAAGAATCTCTAAGGTGGGACTTGATCTAAGATGGCTCCTGGCATTTACTCCATAATCCCCTCTCCTTGAGTGGGCTGGATCTACTGTCACTTGTGAGATGAGGTGATAAGACTTGCTAGTTTGCTTTGTCTCCTTGGATTGCTTTCTTTGATCAAGAGGCCCCTGTACCGAGGAAGAGAGGGCAGTGTCTAGCCAGTAGAGTACAAGGAACAATCCTGCCAACTGCCATGTGAGTTTGTAAGCAGGTCCTTCCCCTAGTGGAAGCTTGAGATGATTACAGTCCCAGCAGACATCTTGATGGCAATGAGAGACCCTGAGACAGAAAACCCACATATGCTGCCTCTCAGTTCCTGACTTATAAAAAAAATGACATGATAAATGTGTTTCAAGTCACTTAAGTTTTGGGATAATTTGTTACACAGCAATAAATAATACAGAGCTCCTTAATCAAATTCCCTGTAATGGTCTTGACATTGTGAACATTAACTGCATCAGTCAACTGACCCTACTTCATTTTCTTGACATGACATGTGAAGCTGCCTGGCCCCAACATACATTTCTAGACTTGTCTTGTATTCCATTTCATTCAACTTAACATGTCCAAAACTGAATGCCTGACACCACCCTCCTCTTCCCCCTGGACCCACAAGCCTGTGCCTCCCACGATCTTCCCTATCCCAGGTATTGACAACATTAGCAGTCTAGCTGCTCAGGCCAAAAACCTTGGATTGATCCTTGACATTTTGCTCATGCTCAATGTGAAACAGTGAATTCCATTGCTTGTACCTTCAAAATGTATCTGAAACATATCCCCTCTTAACCACCTCCATTGCTACCACTGCCTTGGTCTAAGCTGCCATCATACAAGCTTGGGTTACTGGTTTCTCTCCTTACACCATTGCCTCCTATAATCTGTTCTCCAAATGCAGCTGAAGTGATCTGTGAAAATCAAAGATTATGTTACTGTCTGCTCAGCACCCTCCAATGTCTCCCCACCTCTCAGTGAAAGCTAAAGTCTGTATCAGGCCCATGTGATCTTTCCCCTCCCTAATCTCTGACCTCATCTCTCTTCTCTTTAGATCTGAATAAGTCACCTGGGCCTCCTAGCTGTTCTTCTATCGCTTTAGGATCGCTCCTACCTCAGGATCTTTGCACTCGCTGTTCCCTCTGCCTGGAGTGGACCTTGCATGGTGCCCTTCCTTGTCTCAATTAGGTATTAAAGCTCTTAAAGCTTCAAACTCACTTGGTGGACTACCTTGTTCACGAGTGAGGTAGAAGTAGCCCCAAATGCCTGCCAGCCATGGACCAGAGAAGCTCCCTAGAGAGTCCTTGTCTCAATTAGGTATTAAAGCTCTTAAAGCTTCAAACTCACTTGGTGGACTACCTTGTTCATGAGTGAGGTAGAAGTAGCCCCAAATGCCTGCCAGCCATGGACCAGAGAAGCTCCCTAGAGAGCTCCCAGCCACTCTGAGTCTTGACTTCGCTGTTGCTTCCGTGAGCTCCAGGGGCAATGGTCCCACCACAGTCCCATCAGATGTTTGACACTTCAGTCTCATCCTACCGCTTTGTCCTGTTCGCTAAGGATCTTGGGCAAATTACTTCACCTTTTTTTTTTTTTTGGCAGCTGGTCAGTAAGGGGTTTTGAACTCCTGACCTTGGTGTTGCAAGGTTGTGCTCTTTTTAAGCTTCAGTTTCCTCATCTGTGAAATAGGGTCATAACAATGCCTACTTCACAGAGTTGTGAGGTTCAATAAAATCATGTCTTTAAAGTGCTTAGTCCAGAGCCTGGCACATAGTAGGGACACAATCTATATCTAGTGAACAAGCACATCTTCCTGCCACAGTCAGATGGGAGAAGGTCTGTGTTGGGGAAATATAAGAAGAAGAATAAGTAGCTCATTGAGTGCTCACGATGTGATATCATATTAACTATTATGTCATGTAATCTATACCCCAACCCTACTTGGTATTATCCCATTTCGTAGATGGGAAAACAGGCTCAGGGAAGTTTAGTGACTTATTTGAAGTTACACACCTTGGAAGTGACATCTTGGGTTTGAATTCTGGCTCTGCCACTTATTAGACATGTGAATTTGGGCAAATGATTCACATCTCTCTGAGCCTCGATTTCTTCATTTGAAAAATAGGGAATATAATGATATCCACCTATGGTGATATTTTTAAGGAGTAAATGAATACTTAGAATTCTGCCTGAAACATAGGAAGAGCTTCTCAAATACTTGCTATTTTTAGTTTCTTTCAATCTTTTTCTTTTTCTCCTTTGAGATTTTGCTTGCTTCACTAATTGTGGCCACAATTGCCAGAGAAGATGGGGTCCCTACCAGGACTTGCAGCCCTAGCCTATGTCTGCAGGGGGCGCTGTGAAAACATTTCTCCAGCCTGTGGCGAGAAGCCTCTGCCCTTGGCTTGGAAAGGGGGAAGTCCTCCTGGCAGGGGTTGTTGCAAATGGGCAAGCTTCTGAGACCTTGCAGCCAACGCTTCTGGGGTCAACTGCAGCAGTGGAGCCTGCAAGAGGGCTGAGAGTTGGGCTGCTGACCATGTGACCTCCAGACTCATCATGCAACAAACAACCCCAAAACGAATTTAGCCACAATCTCTCATCCTAACAAATCAGTAATCAGTTCTCACTTTTCCAGGTTCCTTTCTGTCCTCATTATGTTCTAGTAGTGGGGTGGCTACCACCAGCATGGTTGGAGCATCCCATTTTTTAAGAAAGCCAGAAATCCTTAAAATGTTGGCAACCAGGTAGCTCAGTTGGTTAGAGCACGGTGTTGATAACACCAAGGTCAAGGGTTCAGCCAGCAGCCAAAAAAAAAAAAAAATGTTGGCAACCAATTCCACTTTTATAAACTGTGAACATGGAGCAATGCACATATGTGGGCTGCATATGGCCTGGAGGCCATCAGTTTGTGTTCCTTTCAGCATCACCTCTTGTTCATTCCTGAGCTGGGATGCCAAATAAAACACAGGACGCCCAGTTAAATTTGAATTTCAGATAAACACCACTTAATTTTTTGGCGTAAATGTGTCCCATGCAATAGTTGGGGCATAGTAAAAAATTATGTGTTGTTTATCTGAAATTCTAATTTAACTGGGAGATGTACATTTTTATTTGCTAAGTCTGGCAACCCCATTCACAGGGCACCTGGCTTGGGATGATGTCATCTGTTCATTAAGATGCAGTCTCCATGGACCTCCTACTTTCCCAGTAACTTTCATATTCTCTGGTAACTTGGGTTTTTCCTCCAAGATTGTCTGGGGGAAAGTGGGGTTTGTGGGGTTTCCGGATAGCCAGTTTCCAATCTGTCTTCAAAGCGTGGGTGGGTGGAATTGGCAGGTTCTGTGGCCCACCTGACCCATCCTCTGATCATTCCCACCTATGGTCCTGATGTGAATTAATTGCAGGTCTGTTTAGAAGGTGTCGGTCTTTGGGCCGGTCCGGTGGCGCACTGGATGGTGCGCCGCTTGGGAAGCGTGGCGGCGCTCCCGCCTGAGGGTTCGGATCCCACATACAGACCGGTTCCCGCTCACTGGCTGAGCGAGGCGCGGGAGCAACACCGAGGGTTGCAGTCCCGTTGCCGGTCCCCGGTCCGGTGCGGGGGCAACACTGAGGGTTGCGATCCGTTGCCGGACACGGAAAAAAGACAAAA